CCAGGGCCCAGTGCCAGTTCCAGTTCCTATTTGTCATCTTAGTCACAGGTCCCTCCTACTGTCTGGTCCCAAGGAATCTGCCACGCTCCACCAGAAGCTTCCGTGTGCCCAGCCAGGTGGTGGTCAGAGGACTCACATTTGGGTCCAGGCTCTCCTCCTCTGCACCAACACCATTGTCAGCAGTGTGGTTGGTGGCAGTGGCTTGGCTTAGTTGTTTCTCACTGAGCTCCTTCTGCTTGGCCTCCTTCTCTGCTACTTTCTTCTCAGCTTTCAAGCGTCTCTTTAGCTCACTGTTGGGAAAATGAAGATGTTCAATGTGATAGCTGCTTGAAGAGTCCTCTACTATGTTCTGCCCCATAGCCACTCATCAAGAATATGAATAGCCTGGGGTAAATGCTCTGGCCCAGTTCTACACCCCCACCTCTAGGCTCTTAGTCACTGAACTCTATATGTGAAAGAGACAAAGGAAAAAATTAGCTTAAAATAAAGATGTGAGAGATCTTTCTCAGTTTCTGCTTTCCAGTCTGAGGTCTTTGGCATTAGATCCCAACTAAAGCTAAGATACACCAGGACAAAGAAAAGCCTACACACTAATTTACATATAGAACAGGAAAAAAGGTTTCCCAGAAAATCAGCAAGATAGGCTTTTCTCAAGCTAATTAGGCTAGGGAGCTCCTTGAGGCCAGGGACTGAATTTTAGTTGTTTGGTATCCTCTGTAGAATATGAAGTTCCTAGAGTACCACACCTGTGATAAGGCAACATCTCTAGCTCTGTCTGCCACCTGTCTACTCTCCCCTAAGGAGTGGGTTAGTCTGGGCTGGGGTGGGGGAGAGGTGGCTCTTCAGAGTTCAAGGAATACTCTGCTGACAGTCTCTCCCTCAGCACTGATCAGTGCATTGACAATGGCCCTCAGCATTGGTCTCACTCTGCGCACAGGAGCCTGACTATGACGACAAACTCAGTAGAACAGTGTACACAGCAACATGGCATAGGTGATGATATACCCTCTTTGGAGTCAGATGCCTGGGAGTACATCCTGACACATCTACCTACCACTTATGTGAACTTGAGCAAGTGACTTAACTTCTGCCCATCTGTAAAATGGAAATAATAATAGACATTCCCTTCCCCAAATGTGGTGGGGATTGAGATAATGTATGTAAACAGACGACCCTGTCCCTAGCATTTAGTAAGAACACAAATGTGAGCTATTCTAGGTTATCTCTCACTATCTTAACCCTTCACTCTCTGCACCCAAGACAGAAACCTTACAAATTCGGATAAATTTCTGGTCAAATCCCTCACTATCCAAACTCTTGATAGTTATCACCTGAGACTCAAAAACTAATTTGGACAACTTGGTATCCCTTATGATCTGAAATCTTGCTATCTGAACCCAGAAACCAAACAGATTTGGGTAGAGACGGATACCCTCATTATCCAAATAGAATTGATCATTCTTTCAAACCACCAATGTTAACTGAATATCCTATAATAATGAACCACGGCAAATGATCCTCAGTCACGATTGCATATTGTCTGGCTTCAGGACACATTCTTAATTTTCAGTGAGTTTAGAATAACTCAATTAAAAAAACTTAATTGGGGATTTCAAATGGTCATCTTTTAAGTAACAAAACTGGCTCTCAGGGCCTCAAAGCAGGCATCTCCGACTGGATATAATTTGTCTTCTAACAGCTGTGAAGACAACCTTTCCAGAACAGTGTGCCAGGCCTACTGTGCTGTAATGAGTCAGCAGGCATCTAAGCCTATCTAGTTCTTCCTAGTATTAACATAATAAACCTGTGTTCCATTCAACTAGGTGTTGCTCTTTAAATCAAATCAGTCATAAGGATAAGCCAAAAAGGCCCTGGGGATAGAACTAAGACTAGAAACCAAACTAATCTCAGGAGCAAATTTCAGAAAGACAGGAAAGAGAAAATACCGTATTAGAAATTCTTTATTCATACACGGGTTTTGTTTTCTGCACTGTTCTAGAATAAGATCCAAAAGTCATCTCAAGAATCTATGGATTGAGAATTCGAATTTATTAAAGAGAAAACGAAAACGGACCATTGATTCTGGTAGCAGGGCTCTTTGTTTCCTTAGTAACAAGTCCAAAGGCTTAAAAGACAGGAACTTAGTAAGGGAAGGAATTTTGCTCCCAGAGCAATAAAGAAGGTAACAGGCACCAACCTTCTTTTATTAGAAAGTGGCTTGTCCTTGTGAATCGCTGTGAAAGGAGCAAGTTGACACAGTCGCAGCTCCCTCTGCCCCCACTGTGCCCAGGAGGTTTGGCGCAGGGACCCCCTAACAAGCCTTACAGCAGCTTGCATCAACATGGCAGAACACCCTGGAACTAACGATTACCACCACCTAACAGGAAACACAGAGATGTGGTGTCAGATGGGACAGACAGTATATACACACCCAACCAGCACTCCTAGTCTTATGGGTTGGGTGAGGGGGATGGGGGAGATTGTACCTTTTAGTGTCCCATTTTACGTAAGACCCTCTTAACTGACAGCAACTCTGTAACATTTACTGTGCTGCAACTGTAACTGACAATGTTCCTGGTCCTGGCTATGGTAAAAAAGAGGTGCAGATCCTGCATCAAAACTCAAGAGCGAGTCAATCAACAGTTTGCAGGTAGAAATGATCACAAAATTCTAGAAGATGGGAGATAGGACATAAGGCAGTATTTCTGCAGCCCCTCACATGTGGTCTCTCCTGGAGATGAAATACCTGGCCACAAAGATGGCAATGGGAAGTATATAAAATTATCATTATCAACTGCAAACTCTAGATGAAGCTAAAAAGTAAACCACACAAAAGGACCTCTGAGGTAAAGATAAGACTTGTTTAGAGTTCTAGAAACAAGAAGGAAAGGAGAATTTCAGGAAGGGTCTTAGACTACATTATGTTTAAACATTAACACTGGAAGGCAAGAGAATTATAGGGATCATATTCTTTACTGCATTCAAATAAATTTGGCCTTTCGTTTGGGAATGAGTCACCTGGAAGGCAGCCCTTCTCTTCTTAAACTCGGAGAAAATAACTGGCATAAAATGGTGCTCACTAAAGATTCAGACCAAGAAAGTTCCAAAGAACAATTAAGAAATACAATCATGTGCTGCTTAACGATGGGGATATGTTCTGAGAAATGCATCCTTAGGTGATTCTGTCCTAACGTGAACATCACAGAGTGTAGTTACACAAACCAAGATGGTACAGCCTACTACACACCTAGGCTCTATGGTACTAATCTCATGGGACCACTGTCATATATGCAGTATATTGCTGACCAAAACATTACGTGGTGCATGCACAAATTATTTTAGCCCGTAGTCCCTAGAGAAACATATGACATCAATGGCAGATTCTTTTAGACAATGTGACGAAGAGGTATGGTGCAGTCAGTGTAAAGAGCATGGGCTGTGGAGTTACGGACTTGATTTTAGATTTCTGCTCCAGAGCTCTGGATCAGTGATAGACCACACTTTAGCAACACATTTAATCACCCAGAGCCTCAGCTTACTAAATTGAAAAATGGGTATTAACACTTGCCTTGCAAGGTTATTACTGAGATCAGACAGGAAGTCTGTATAGTTGTAGCACAGGGCCTGACACACAAAAGCTATTTTAAAAAGTGGTTGCTATAATTAATGTAAGAAAAGTCAGTAGAAAGGATTTGGTCAGTTTCCTCAATTTACCTTAAAATCGCACTTGACTACGAGGTATCTGTGATATACAACCCTAAAATTCAATTACTGACGTAAAGATCAAAATCCAGTCAATTTTTCCCAAAGGCAGAAGTCCAAGACCAGGCTCTAAACATTTATAGGGATCCATCAGACACTCTCAAAAAAGACAACATATTAGGGTGCCATCAACCATAAATTTAGGTATTTCCTTTCCCATTTTTCTAGAATATTTGAAGTATAAACCCAGAGACACAAAAGGAAACACCAATTCTTACTTGTTGAGTGCAGTTCCATCAGGGTTCTGCAAGGGAATTGAGCCCTCGCGCAATAAAACAGCCTTTATATGTAATGAACTAATTTCTCTCCTATGCCTCTCAAATAGCACTATTTATGTATCATCTTCGGGGATATTGAGAAAAGTCATTGCCTATGTTCTATGAAGAACCCTGGCTGATAGGGAGTGGAGTATTTAGAGAATATAAGACGTAGTCAAAGAGCGGCTAATCCTGGTTTGTTTAAATTTACTTTCATACTCCAAGGATTTGGGGTGATTAGCAAAGATATACCCAGCAGTGTAGGAGCAGCTTGGTGTACTGGGCTGAAGAAGGCAGTCCTTACTGCTAGACACTGCTCATTCACTCAATACTCACAGATCCCTGGAATAGCCAATATGGATAGGTGCAGGACACTGTTTCAGAACTGATCTCTTCTATATGGAAGGTTCAGAATGGCCTTGGTGAGGCCAAGGAAAACTTGGAGGTCTTTCTGGAAAGCTAGGGTATTTAACATTTCTCCAACCTCCTCATCGAGGCGTGGCTTCCTCATAAAAGAACGCATTTCTCAGAGAGGAAAGGGAAAGAGTCAAGTTTCGCTTTTCTCTCCGTCACCTCTCAGTCTTCAGTATTCTCTTACTCTAGGAGTAGGACGGGGGAACCCCGCCGGCCCCAGGGCATCCTGGGGGATAGAGTTTCGGGGAGTAGCGGCTACGTCCCGGCGCGTCCGTGCCCACGAGAACCGGCAGGAGCGCCCCACGCACAGCCACCTCTCCAGGAGCCGCGAGGTGATTCCTGACCCGGACACTCCGACCGCAAAGGCCTTACTGACCCGCAGCGACACTTACTTCTTGCTCAGTTTCGGCTCGCCGCCGTCCACTTTCACCTCAGCCGCCTGCACTGCAGCCATGTTTCCCGAGGGCTCGGCCTAAAAAGGATGAAGTCTGACGGCAATTTCCAGGTCAGGGTCGGAAGCCCCACCACTTCCGGAGCGAGAGGGCGGGCGCTCTTTGCGCGCTGCAGCCGCGCAGGCGCACTGCGAGGCTTCGCGGCCGCGGCGTCGGGCGCGCCAGCTGGTTTAGTTGTGTGCGCCAGACGCTCTAGGGGGGCGGCTCTCCTGGTGCCTCTCTTCAGCTATGGCGGAGGCCATGGATTCGGGGAAAGACCCCAACGGGCCCACTCATTCCTCGACTCTGTTCGTGAGGGAGGACGGCAGCTCCATGTCCTTCTACGTGCGTCCCAGTCCGGCGAAGCGCCGGCTCTCGACGCTCATCCTGCACGGCGGCGGCACCCTGTGCCGGGTGCAGGAGCCCGGGGCCGTGCTGCTGGCCCAGCCCGGGGAGGCGCTGGCCGAGGCCTCGGGCGACTTCATCTCCACGCAGTACATCCTGGACTGCGTGGAGCGCAACGAGAGGCTTGAGCTGGAGGCCTACCGGCTGCGCCCGGCCCCGGCGGCCGACCAGACCCTGGAGACGAAGCCGGGGGCCCCGGCCGAGGGCGCCGCGGAGCCCGAGCCGAAGCCGTACACGGGGCGGATGGGGTTCACGGACGCGGACGACTTGGCCATCTTGACCTACGTGAAGGAAAACGCCCGCTCGCCCAGCTCCGTCACCGGCAATGCCCTGTGGAAAGCGCTGGAGAAGAGCGCGCTCACCCAGCACTCGTGGCAGTCCCTCAAGGACCGCTACCTCAAGCGCCTGCGCGGCCAGGAGCACAAGTACCTGCTGGGCGACGCCCCCGTGAGCCCGTCCTCCCAGAAACTCAAGCGGAAAGCCGAGCAGGACCCCGAGGCCGCCGACAGCGGGGGTGAGGCCTGCTGCTGCGGCCGCGCGGGCCCCCTGCTCACCCCGGTGCTGGGGCGGGGGCGTCTCCTCCCCTCTGTGTCAGGCGTCCATTGTGGCGTGTTTGCTGGCGCCGCGCGGCCCCTCCCTCTCTTGACATCCGGGTAAAAGTGCAGCATTGTTTTCGTCTCTGAGTTTCCTTTGCTTTTCCAATATCTGGGATATTGGCACGGTTCGATGTTCAAAAGGTACAAAAAGCGCGCATGGAAAGTCCTCTCGCCCTTCCTACCCACCCAGTTTTTTTCCCCCTAAGGCGACGCGTTTACCAGCTTGAGTTATCTTTTCAGAGAGATTTCAGAGACTGGTTTTGGAAAAGTATTTCCATGTTCAGCTGGGTTCGATATAAACCATTTTAAAGGCGTGCCAGACGAGTTTGGTTTCATGTTTTGGCTTAATTGAGTGCGTAGTCCTGTGAGAAGGTTTTCACCCACTGGACAAGGGTTGTGCTCAGGGGAAGTGAGCTTTTAACGCAGTTGAATTGAATGTTGGGATTCAGGTGTGGTTAGTGATGCGGGGTTGGTGAGTCGAGGAGTTGAAAGATTTGTTGGACTCTCAAGGTCTGGCCGTAGTGCTCTTTTATTTAGAGAATAGTGTGGAATAGCGTGGGGACAGGACCCATGGGCAGTCAGGCTGCTGCGGGGGGACAGGGCCCACAGGCTGGAGGAGGTGCTACTGCTGCCGGCATGGGGACAGGACTGATGGGCAGGCAGACCTGCTGCGTGGGGACAGGACTCACGAGCAGGAGGAGCTGCTGCTGCCGCTTCTGCTGCAAACATGAGTGGAGAGTAAGGCTAAATAAGGCATAGTTATGTGAGCCATCTCTTTACAAGACAAAGGAAAGAATATGAAAAAAAGTTAAAATGGTATCAGTGCAGGTGGGGTCTGGCTATTGGGTGATCCCCTGACTTTTAGATAAGAATCAAATCGGATTAAGTAAAGGTCAGAAGCCACCACCCTAAATTACTTACATGAGATTGCCAGACGCTAACCAACTTAAGTTCTTGCCTTCCCCATTGAGAGTTTCTGGAGACAAGGTCATCTCCCTTCTTTCACAAATGCAAATGTCTCTCAAGGGGCAAGCAAATTCCAGTCGTCGGAGCCTGCCTCTCATCTGCAGTTTAAAATTAACCAGCCTAAAATCCTCATCAGTTAGGACACGGTGTCAAGCTGTTAAGATGCTTCACTTTTGATCTAGTGGGTATAGACAGCTTAAACTGACGGAGCCTTTTGTTTAAAAAGGCAAGTCCCCCCCTTCCGTTTTCTTTCCTTGTGGCTATTAGATGTAACAGGTGAAGTCTGGGGAGGTAAATCTGTTTCTCCGTTGAGTATGCTTAGTAGGAATTTTGTTTTTGGTAAAAGTGACATTTCAGATTCATTCATTCAGCAGATATTTGAGTACCAGTTACTGTTATCCTGCTGGGATATAACGATAAATAAAAGTCCCTGCGGTTATGGATCTTAACATGCTAGCTGGGCAGTGCTAAGTGCTGTAGAGAAAAGTAAATCAGCGTAAGGGCTGGGGAGGAGGTTCTTCTCTACAGGATGCTAAGGGAAGGTCACTACATAGGCTGATGTTTGAGTAGAGACCAAAGGAGATGAAAGAGCAAGCCAGGTGGTTATCTGAGGAAGTGTTCCAGGCGGAGGGAATATTAAGTGCAGAGGCCATGAGGTGGGAATGTGGGTGGTGTGTTCTTGGAGCAGCAGAGAGATCAGTGTGGCTGGAATGGAGTAAGCAAGAGGGAGAATAGGAGAGAGGACAAGGCTGTGTGTATGGGTGAAGTAGGTCATGTAGGGCCTTGCTTTTAAATCAGTAGTGATGGGCCTACTGGGAAGCCATTTGGAACTTGGGACAAAATTAAGCAGGATTTACCCTACTCTACATATTTTGATCACGTATTTAAATGTAAAAATTAAAATCCTAAAATGACTAAGGGAAAACACTGAAGAATATACTTTTTTTTTTTTTTGAGGAAGGCTAGCCCTGAGCTAACTGCTGCCAATCCTCCTCTTTTCACTGAGGAAGACTGGCCCGTGCTAACATCCGTGCCCATCTTCCTCTACTTTATATGTGGGACGCTTCCCACAGCATGGCTTGTCTTCCCAGGCGGTGCCATGTCTGCATTTGGGATTTGAACCAGCAAACCTTGGGCTGCCGAAGCGGAACGTGTACACTTAACTGCTGTGCCACCAGGACAGCCCCTGAAGAATATACTTTTTAATACAGTCATGAGCTTCATTAATGACATTTCAGTCAACAACAGACTGCGTATATGACTGTGGTCCCATAAGGTTCTAGCCTGGGTGTGTAGCAGGCTGTACCATCCAGGTTTGTGTAAGTACACTCTGTGATGTTCAAACGACCACAGAATCGCCTGACAATGCATTTCTGAGGTTGTGTACCTGTCCTCACGCATGATTGTATTAGTCACGTGTGACTGTATTAGCATGGGGATAGTCCTGAAACCAAGAAGACTAAGAAAAAGTTTTAATATATTTGATTACTTAAAATCAAAAACTTCTCATGATAAATAAAGACAGGGCAAACTGGAAAAATATTCCCAATACTTTGCAGAGTTGGTTTCCTTCAGGACCAAAGAGCTTGCAGAAGTTAGTAAAAGAAAAACTAGTAGAAAAATGAGCAAAGGAAATGGAACAGGAAGTTCCCAGAAAAGGAAATAAATGGCCAATAAACAAATGCAGAAGTATTGTTAAATAAAAGTAAATAGACTCTGAGCAGAGGGCCAATATAAGCCATGCCTGTACTTCTGACCCATAGAAACTGAAATAATAAATGTGTGTGGTGGTGTGTTTTAGAACAGTAAATCAGCAAGGAAATGTATTTTATCAGATTGGCAAAAATGAACAAAATGGGTAATACCCAGAGTTAGTGATGTATGTGAAAAACAGGTACACTCCTACATTACTAGAAGAAGAAAACTGGTGTGATTTCTTTGGAGGGCATTTTGACAAAATCTAACATTTAAAATGCATATTCCCTTAAACATGGCAATATTGCTTCTAGGAATTTATCCTACAGATATACTCAGACTGCAAAAGGGTGCATAGTGAAAAGTAAGTCTCCCTGCTACATACCCTTCCCCTGGTTCCTCTCCCACAGGCAACCTCTGTTATTGTCCCTTGGCTGTGTCCTTTTTGCTCATAGTAACATTAGCACGCTAGACATCATTTTGTTTTACAGTTTGCTTTTTTTTTAACTTAATAGATATTGAAGTTCTTGTGTGTCTGTGCCATAATTTGTTTACTTTTTATTATAGAAAATTTCAAACATTTGGAAAAGTATAATGAACTGTACTGCATGTACCCATGACCCAATTTCACCTGATTATACATCATGGCCAATTTTTTTCATCTATACCTTTCATCCTGACTTCTGGGATTATTTTGAAGAAAATGCTAGGCATCATACGATTTTATCTGTTTCAGCATGTATCTTTAAAAGATAAAACTTCTTTTTTAAACTACTTTAAAAAAATTTATAGAAAATAAAATTGGCTTATTTTGGTATACAGTTATGTTTGTTTTTTAAATTTATTTTTTATTGTACAGTATCCATTCCATAAATTTACCATTTTAACTGTTTCAGTTTGGTGGCATAAAGTGTGCAGCCATTGCCACCATCCATCTCTAGAACTTTCATCTTCCAGAATTGAAACTCTATACCCGTTAAACACTAACTCCCCATTCCTCCTCCCCCAGCCCCTGGCAACCACCATTCCACTTTCTGTCTTTATGAATTTAATCTCTCTAGGTACCTCATGTAAGCAGAATCATAGAATATTTGTCCTACTGTGTCTGGCTTATTTCACTTAGCATCATGTCTTTAAGATTCATCCATGTTGTAGCATGTGAGAGAATTTCCCCTTAGTAGTCAGTTTTTGTTAAGTAGAAAAGAGAGCAGAGTTAAATCCTCAGAGAACTAAGAGTAAAAGAGAAACAGGAGGATGTTTAGCTTTAGGAGTTGCTCCTTTCTGTAGATGGCGTGTTGTGGGTTGTGATGTATCTCCCAGATCTGCCTTCAGCAGCTGGGAGAGCTGCCTTGCGCATAGTCCTGTCATCTCAGGGTGGCTAGCATCCAGTGACTGATCTATGTGGAGTTATAATGTCTTGGCTCCCTCGCTCCAACTCAGTCAACTCGGAAGGCCTTCCCAGCTCTAGCTTTTCCCTGGTTTCAGCTGAGGCCCTGTTGGAACTATTTCACAGCTCAGATCTCTCTCTGCCCACTCTTGGTTTCTTCTCTTCAACAGGTGTTTTCCCGGAAGCACTCTCTAATAAACCCCCTTTTTTTTTTTTTTTAAAGATTGGCACCCAAGCTAACAACTGTTGCCAATCTTTTTTTTTTTGCTTTTTCTCTCCAACCGCCCCCAGTACATAGTTGTATATTTTAGTTGTGGGTCCTTCTAGTTGTGGTATGTGGGACGCCCCCTCAACATGGCCTGATGAGCGGTGCCATGTTCGTGCCCAGGATCCGAACCATTGAAACCCTGGGCTGCCGAAGCGGAGCGCGTGAGCTTAACCACTCAGACATGGGGCCGCCCCAAATGCCTTATATGTTAATCGCAATCTCAGAATCTGCTTCCCAGAGAACCCAATTTATGGCACAGTTTTGTTAATTTTCAAAATCTGTAAATACAAAGCAAAAAGTGAATTACGCTTGAAGAGTATTTTTATTTTACATATCAGAGCCTAGGAAAATTATCACATTTGGATAGTACAACTTTCCAGAAACAAGAGTAGAAATTATTGAACATGCATGTGTTGTGTTTTTCTTATCCTCTGACCAAAACAGATGTCTTCTAGTAGAAAAGGAAAATGCAGGCTTACTTTTGGCCTAGAGCTCATGTACTATATTTTTGGTTTCTGCAAAAGAGGCTAATTCTAATCTGATGCTGTTCGTCTCTTTAATAGAACCACAGAATAAGAGAACTCCAGACTTGCCTGAAGAAGAATTTGTAAAGGAAGAGATCCAAGAGAATGAAGAAGCAGTCAAAAAGATGCTCGTAGAAGCCAGCCGGGAGTTTGATGAGATTGTGGTATGTTAACTAAATTTAACTCATTTTTTTCCTACCTATGTCCTTCTCCTTTGAAAATGGTCATCGTATCTACCTTTTCATACACCTGAGGCCCAGAAAGGTAAGAGAGAAGTTCAAGGAGGAAAATGGAAAGTGGGACTGATCCTAGGTTCTAGACATGCAGCTTTTAGTTTTTGGTAGGACAACTTGAGTGGGAAGGGAGAGAGGGAGAAAAATTGGGAAGAATTATTTTTAAACAGTATAAAGCATTCCATTTTGATACTTTCATCTCAGTATAATTTTTTTAAAGTTAAGGCTATGGATTTTTCTTTTAAAAGCATTTTTATGCTTCTCAGGAGAATAAATGTAATTTTTTAAAGAGTTAAATTTTTTTATCAAGCAAGTGTAGCTTTTGGTATGCAGGTTTACCTTGGAGATATTGCAGCTTCAGTTCCAGGCCACTGCAATAAAGCGATTGTTGTAGTCAAGTGAATCACATGAGTGTTTTGGTTTCCCAGTGCATATAAAAGTTATGTTTATACTATACTATAGTCTATTAAGTGTGCAATAGCATTATGTCTAAAAAAACAATGTATATATCCTAATTAAAAAATGCTTTTATTGCTAAAAAAATGCTAACCATTATCTGAACCTTCAGAAAGTTGTAATCTTTTTGCCAGTGGCGGGCCTGGCCTTGATGTTGATGGCTGCTGACTGATCAGTGTGGTGGTTGCTGAAAGTTCGGGTGACTGTGGCAGTTTCTTAAAATAAGACAACAATGAAGTTTGCCACATCGATTCACTCTTCCTTTCATGAATGGTCTCTCTGTAGCACATGATACTGTTTGATAGTATTTTACCCACAGTGGGACTTCTTTAAAATTGGAGTCAATCCTCTCTAACACTGCCACTGCTTTAACAACTAAATTTATGTAATATTCTAAATCCTTTGTTGTCATTTCAACATCTTCACCAGGAGTAGATTCCATCTCAAGAAGCCACTTTCTTTTCACATCCGTAAGAAGCAGCTCCTCGTCCGTTACAGTTTTCTCATGAGATGGCAGCAATTCAGTCACATCTTCAGGCACCAGTTCTAATTCTAGTTCCCTTACTTTTTCTACCACGTCTGCGGTTACTCCCTCCCCTGAAGTCTTGAACCCCTCAAAGTCATCCATGAGAGCTGGAATCAGCTTCTTCCAAACTCCTGTTAATGTTGATATTTGACCTGTGAATCACAAATGTTCTTCATGGCATCTAGAATGGTGAATCCTTTCCAGAAAGTTTTTAATTTACTTTGCCCAGATTTATGAGAGGAATCACCATCTATGGCAACTATAGCCTTATGAAAAGTTTTTCTTAAATTATAAAACTTGAAAGTCAGAATTACTCCTTGATCCATGTGCTGCAGAATGGATGTTGTGTTAGTAGGCATGAAAACAACATTTATCTGGTTGTCTCCATCAGAGCTCTTGGGTGACCAGGTGCATTGTCAGTAAGCAGTAATATTTTGAAAGGAATCTTTTTTTATGAGCAGTAGGTCTCATTAGTGGCCTTAAAATATTCAATAAACTATGTTGTAAACAGATGTGTTGTCATCTAGGCTATGTCATTCCATTTATAGAGCACAGGCAGAGTAGATTTTAACATAATTCTTAAGGGCCCTAGGATTTTCAGAATGGTAAATGAGCATTGGCCTCAACTGAAAGCCACCAGCTGTATTAACCCCTTACAAGAGAGTCAGCCTGTACTTTGAAGCCAGGCATTGACTTCTCTCTAGCTGTGAAAGTCCTGAATGGTGTGTTCTCCTGATATAACGCTGTTTCGTCGACATTGAAAATCTGTTGTTGAGTGTAACCACCTTCATTAATTATCTGGATAACTTCCTGCAGCTTTACATCAGCATCTGCTGCTTCACCTTGCACGTCTAAGTTATGGAGACAGCTTCTTAGATCTCGTGAACGAACCTTTGCTAGCTTCAGATATTTCTTCTGCAGCTTCCTCACCTTTCCTTTCTCAGCCTTCATAGAATTGAAGAGAGTTAGGGCCTTGTTCTGGATTAGACTTGGGCTTGAAGAATGTTGTGGCTGGTTTGGTCTTCTATCCAGGCCACTCAAACTTTCTCCAGTCAGCAATAAGTCTGTTTTACTTTCTTATCATTCGTGTGTTCACTGGAATAGGACTTTTAATTTCCTTCAAGAACTTTTCCTTTGCATTTACAACTTGGTTAACTGACACAAGAAGCCTTTCTCTTTTTTTTTTGAGGAAGATTAGCCCTCAGCTAACTACTGCCAGTCCCCCTCTTTTTTGCTGAGGAATCCTGGCCCTGAGCTAACATCCATGCCCATCTTCCTCTACTTTATATGTGGGACACCTCCCACAGCATGGTGTGCCAAGTGGTGCCATGTCTGCAGGTGGGCTCCGAACCGGCGAACTCTGGGGCCACCGAGAAGCAGAACGTGCGAACTTAACCTCTGCGCCACCGGGCCAGCCTCAAGAAGCCTAACTTTCAAGCTATCTCGGCTTTTGACATGCCTTCCTCACTAAGCTTAATCATTTCTAGCTTTTGATTTAAAGTGAGAGACATGCACCTCTTCCTTTCACTTGAACACTTAGAAGCCATTGTAGGGTTATTAATTGGCATAATTTCAACATTGTTGTGTCTCAGGGAATAGGCCCAAGGAGAGGGAGAGAGACAGGGGAATGGTTGGTCATTGGAGCAGTCAGAACACACACAACATTTATCGATTAAGTTTGCCATCTTATATGGGCATGGTGGCATCCCAAAACAATTACAATAGTAACATCAAAGATCACTGATCACCATAACAAATATAGTAATAATGAAAAATTTTGAAATATTGTGAGAATTACCAAAATGTGATAGAGATGCAAAGTGTGTAAATGATGTTGGAAAAATTATGCTAATAGACTTGCTTGACACAGGGTTGTCACAAACCTTCAATTTGTAAAAAAACATACTATCTGCAACACACAGTAAAGCTAAGTGTAACAAAATGAGGTATGCCTGTACTTACAGCTTTTTTGGAATTGTTTTGGTTCTTCCGTATTTAATCTAGCTTCTTATTCTCTGTTGGAATCCCATATTTAATCATAGTTACAGAGAAAGGCAGGAGGCATAAAATAATGGGTAATTTTTAAAAATCCAAATTATATGTGCGTATCATCTTCAAGAAAAAGGATATTGTAAATTAACTTTTCTTACTAACACAAAGAAAAATGGCTAAGCCTCAGTCTAAAACAGGAAAGTAATGTAAAGTTTGTGTAATTGATGAGTGAAGGAATACACAGGAATTGGCAGAATTTAGGGATTGTTGCCTTTATTTATTTATTTATTTTAGGAAGATTAGCCCTGAGCTAACTGCTGCCAATCCTCCTCTTTTTGCTGAGGAAGACTGGCCCTGAGCTAATGTCCGTGTCCATCTTCCTCTACTTTATATGTGGGACACATGGCTTGCCAAGCAGTGCCATGTCTGCACCCGGGATCTGAACTGGTGAATCCCAGGCCGCCGAAGCAGAATGTACGCACTTAACCGCTGCACCACTGGGCCGGCCCCAGATTGTTGCCTTTTGTAGTTTGAGGGTTTTTTTTTAGTTTTTGCTATTTGGTTCATTTTCCATAAACTTTCAGATGCTCTCAACAACTCTCAAACATGGCCTACATAGGTCTCTTCTCACATAACATGCTTTGTAATGTGTCTAAATGTGGTATAGCTTGGAGAACCTAATATATTCATACAGCAATGTTTTTTGAGTACTTATTATGTGAAGGCATTGGTAGGCACTGGGGATGTAGTGATGAGCAAAACAGGTACAATTCCTACCCTTATTGAGCTTACAGTCTGAGTGAAGTCAGACAGACTTTCAACAAATAATCTAATGTACACATGGGTACACATATGTATGTGTGTGCATATACTATATTTTTTAATATTCAGTGTAGCTGCCAATGTTGTAATACCAGAAGTGATTATACATACACATACACACATATGCACACACACTTAATATACCTACCACCTACACACATATTCCCCCTTACCCCATCACATAGGTATATACGTGTATACACATCCAACATGAGTAAATGTAAGAAGGAACATAGCATATTAGAGGAACATCCAGTGTGATTAGGGTGAAAAGGGTAAGAAGGCAGTAGTTGGGAGAGACGAGATAACACAAGGGTAAGTGTTTGTGACTTGATAATTAGGAACTGGTTGTATTCATCACTTTCTCTAGGTGGATGAGAGCCCTGATTTTGAAATACACATAACAATGTGTGATGATGATCCACCTACACCGGAGGAAGACTCAGAAACACAGCCTGACGAGGAGGAGGAGGAGGAGGAAGAAGAAAAAGTTTCTCCACCAGAAGTGGGAGCTGCCATCAAGATCATCCGGCAGTTAATGGAAAAGTTTAACTTGGATTTGTCAACAGTTACACAGGCCTTCCTAAAAAATAGCGGTGAGCTAGAGGCTACTTCTTCCTTTTTAGAGTCTGGTCGAAGGGCTGATGGGTATCCCATTTGGTCCCGACAGGATGACTTGGATTTGCAAAAAGATGATGAGGCTGCCAGAGATGCATTGGTCAAAAAATTTGGTGCTCAGAATGTAGCTCGGAGGATTGAATTTCGCAAGAAATGATTGGCAAGCTAATGAGAAAAGAAAAAAGGTGTGGCAGATGAGGTGGTTAAAAAAGGGTTTTGACTGTTGATCTTCAGAGATTCTTACATTGGAGCTGACACTTGTCTTTTGACCAATACTACCATTGCTCTCTAAGTCCCAGATTTTGTAGCCAAGCAGAGTTGTGTAGGAGGATAAAAATAAAAGAAATGGGATATATTTAGAGCAGTCCCTGGCAGTATCAGTGTGCTTATGAAAGGAAAATCTAAACTAGAGAGAACTTGGTCTGCATAGTAGTAATCCTTTTCTGGAATGGAACCCTTGCTATATTGGTGACAGGAGTTAGTGACAAAGTCAAAGGAGGAAAATTAGGAGGGAGATCTTTTCAGGCAGCATGAATAAAGAACCTCCTATCTTTTGGCAGAAGCTCATCTAGATTGTGGTAGATTCCAAATTAAGAATCTAGAAATATGGAAAGATTTCATTACAAGGCCTTGAACATGGACTATCCCAAACTCTGTATCCCCCGTTGAGCTCTCATTTCTAGACTGCTTTGAAAACTCCATATTCCCTTTGTTAACGTAATATTTGGGGACCCTGCTTCTTGGCTGTTCTTTTCTTCAAGTCCTTGATAGACATGTCTCTAGCATGTATTTTCTTACCACCCGGTTTTTAAAACACACACACAACCCTAGAGAGTCTGAAGAACAGTCTTACTTTGTTACTAGTAATGTGTTTTTAGTTAGTCTTTAGCACAAAACTACCCCCGATTGTGTTAGATTTAAAAATTAGTAGATTAATTTCTCTCTGTTGTATTGCTTTCATTATTGAAAATAAATAGAACTTTGTATTTGAGTCTCCAACAAGTGTTTTCTCTGATTGTATTTACAAAACCTTTTAGGTGTAAAAACCATAAGGAACCAACATTTCTGGTTCTTATTAATTAGAACCAATCAACTGGTTCCATTTTAGAACTAATAGGCCATTAGAAAGATGCTAGTTCTTCTGGATGGAGCAAAAAGAAGATCTGCATCAGGGACTGTGGAAGTTGGCAAAATCAGATGAACTGCTGAGAGTCAAGGGGAAGAGAAGCCAATCAGGAACCATCAGGTGTGTAACAGGTGTCTACCCCACTCATATCCCCTGGGCACTCACTAGTCCAACACATGCCACCAACAGGAGTCCTGCTAGCATCTACTTGCAGTGCTGTGGATTAATGCCCCTGGGAGCGGCTTTCAACTAATGGCAAATAAGAATTAGAGGATGCATACGCAGCTTCCTTGCTGACCAGAGAAATGACACAACCAAATATTGGAGAGTTACCCCTGGAGTGGGATAATGGTTTCCATGCCATCTTTTAGAGGTCCCCAGCAGAAATAAGCATAGTTGCCCACGATGGTAATCTGTTTATGAATGCACTCAGTATAGGCTTCCTTCTCTTGTCTCACATCCCAACTTCCCTACTAGTGCATCCTGGAATCACACCAGTTACACTCAACTACTTTCTTTAGAGTCTGCGTCTAGGGGAACCCAGCTTAAATCGAAATGCTTAACCTTTCCTTCCTCCTTCGTATATTGGAAGGATACAACAAACTCCCAGTAGTAACTACAGCTTACTACAGTTGTTAGTGCTTTTGAGTCAGTTCTCACTCCTAGAGATCCTGTGTACAGCAGAATGAAACCCTGACCAGTCTTTTTGTGCCATCCTCTCACCTGCTGCTGTATCAGACAATGCTCCACTGCTATTCATAGGGTTTTCATGGTCCATTTTTTGGGAAGTGGGTGGCCAGGTCCTTCTTCCTAGTCTGTTTTAGTCTAGAAGCTCTGCTAAAAACTGTCCAGCATGAGTGACCCTGCTTGGTATTTGAAATAGTGGCATAGCTTTCAGTACTACAGCAACACACAGACATCACAGTATGACGGTTGACAGGTGATTTGGTTCCCTGACTGGGAAATGAACCCAGGCCTTGGTGGTGAGGGTACCGAATCTTAACCACTAGAACTTGCTATACTAGTAATTCTTAAATGGGGATTGGGAGGGGCTGGGTGGTGGGCATTTGTTTAAAATGTGTTCTCGATTCTGATATGACTCTAGGGTGGTTGAAAATCATTGCTTTAGATGTGAAATGGAGACGTCATCTAGGATGTCAATACCTTAGTAAAGTTACTGCAGCCTATTGGCTTTACAGGGCTACAAATTCCAGTTTTGTCAAATCATGTGCAAAAGGGTCTGATATATACCCAGACTCTCAAAAGACGTGTTTAAACCAACATACACACCAACCTGTAGTGCTCATTGTAAACCAGTAAGTTTCAAATACCTGGTTTTGTAATTTCTCTGGTCATTCATCTCTCCTGCTGGCACATATATGTGGGGAGTCAAATTATCAGAAGTATTTTTTGGAGCACAAACCTAAGGGAGGAAAATGAGTTGGGTCTTAATGGTTAGTGGCATTGAGCTATGGCTGCATCTGCTACACAGACCAGCTGTTCAAGTCCTGAAGTCGGAATACCTCTCCCTTGAACTGCCAGATTGTTCTTTAGGCTTTCTTTTCTCAACTTCGAGTCTGATTGTGCTTTTCTGCTTGTGCTCTGGGATACAGAATTTCTTACACAGTTTAGCTCTTGAATTCTGGGCCTTTTTCACCATTCCTCACTGCTCCTCCCCCTTCCCCATACTCCAGCTTTTGAAATTTTCTGGGCTTTAACTTCTATAACTTCAGTAGTGCCAGAAGCATTTCCTTTCTGTTTCTTTCCCTGTAGCAGTGGATTCTGCCCTTGGTGTCCAGTTTTCCTCTGTTCCCTCTTCCTTTGAAGTAGGTGCAGTTGAATTTTAAAAGTTTCAGCTGCTGCTTGAGTTGTTCAGATCCTCTCTTGCTTTTGGTCTAATACTGTTTGCTGGATCATATGCCTACCTGCCTATATCAATAAGGTATATTTAGTTGCATGCAACAGGAAACCTAACCTAAAGGACTTTAAACGATAAGGGGATTTATATCTTGTATTTGTAATAAGAGGTCCTGAGGCGGGGTGGCTTCAGGGTTCTTTGTATTTTTCTGCTTTGCCATCTTTAGCTTGTTGTAAAGGCTGTGTCCTAAAGGTGGAGTGTCTTCCTTGGGCTTCAGATGGTATAACCTTTTCTGGGAATGTGGCCTGGAAGGGGAGGGTTAATATCCAAACAAAAGTCAGGGAGTTTAGGACCTGCTAAAAACTTCCATTGTACAGACAATCCTGGTCACCTTCAGGAGCAAAAGTATTCCACCCAGAAACTGTCTCCTTGTCATTAATCTGGACTTAACCTTTTGAGTTCATTCTTGTCTCATCTTCCTTATAACTTTCCTTCTGGTTTTTAATTTGCTTCCTGAGCATATTTTCTTACAACAAATGCCAACTATGCTTCTCTATCAATAATACTCATGACAAATAAAAATGCCAAGCAATAGGATATATTGGAGAATAGGAGGAAGCCATTTGGTATAAACCTAATTTGGCCTGACCTTGTCTTTCCAAAAGGGCCTGACCCTGGCTCTTGAGCATGCATTGTATATCTGCTTTAGATATTCCCTATGGCAAGAACAAAGGCCCTTCAGATAAAGGTGCAACTTCCCTCCCCCTCCCAACGTTGGCGTTTCTTTAAGGATTAAGCATCTTTCCTTAGGCTAGAAACTGATTGCTGTGCTCATCTGTGACCACCCAGCTCAAGACAATAGACTTGCCTCCTGCTACAGACCCACTACCTGCTGTGTCCAACAAGCGCTGTGCTGAGAGGGCAATCTTGTGACTATTGTGGGAGGGACATTTCAATCATATGTGAAACGTCCTGCTTGGGGGTATATAACCATTCTGTACACCTCACTTCTTTGGTGCCCTTTCTTCCTTTGGGAAGAAAGGCCCCGGGCCATGGTTCTCAGATTTCAGCTCAGAATAAACTCACCCAAATTTTCATTTATAGGTTGGTTATGAATTATTTTCGTCGACACTCATTACCTTGAAACTCACTCTGCATGACTTCCTGGTGTTTTCCTCAGGTTCTGCAGCTTCCACTATAGTTGTGCCTGTCAACAAGGATGGCTTCCCCAGTTGTTCTTTCTTTCGATTTTCTACTGGTAGCTTTTGATGCGGGGGTTGGTGAGCCGAGGAGTCGAAAGAAGGATTTCTTGGACTCTCAAGATCTGGCAGTAGTTCTCTTATTTAGAGAATAGTGTGGAATAGCATGGGGACAGGACCCATGGGCAGTCAGGCTGCTGCATGGGGACAGGGCCCATGGGCAGGAGGAGGTGCTGCTATTGCTGCTTCTGCTGCAAACATGAGTGGAGAGTAAGGCTAAATTTAAGGCATAGGTATGTGAGCCATCTCTTTACAAGACAAAGGAAAGAACGTAAAAAAGTTAAAATGGTTATCAGTGCAGGTGGGGTCTGGCCATTGGGTGGTCCCACAACTTTTAGATAAGAATCAAATCGGATTAAGTAAAGGTCAGAAGCCACTACCCTAAATCAGTTACATGAGATTGCCAGACAGTAACCAATTTAAGTTCTTGCCTTTGGCATTGATTAAGAGTTTCTAGAGACAAGGTCATCTCCCTTCTTCCTGGCACACAGAGGGAGGCATCCCCACAGATGGGGGTTTCCCCCACAAATGTAAATGCCTCCCAACAAAGGACAAGCAAACTCTGCTCCTCGGAGCCTGCTTCTCATCTGCAGTTTTAAAAGTAACCAGCCTAAAATCCTCATCAGCTTTCAATTTTGATAGTTTGTTGGCTCTGGGATCTTTCTGGGGAATGTATCAGATTGTTTTCTGGGCTCATTACTCCCCACCCTTTGCTGCCTCAGACATGAGGTCATACATTTGTGTCCAAATATTTGGAGAGCTCCTCTGGGCCCTGTTGAGAAGTTTGCTGATGACTCTTACCTAGTGGTTTGTGTATTTGATTGCCAGCTGCCGTCCGCACTTAAAACTGTTGTACAGATTTAAGTAAATCAAATTATTTTCTAACATTTTTAAGGTGGGCTGTGGAAAATTTTTACAGATAGATTCTTAAAGTTGTTAAAATAGTTAAATAAGGAGCCTGTTAGACTGGAGTGGCTCTAGTGCCTTTGGTAGCTTATGTAAACCAAAACCTAAGCCAGAGTGAATGCACTCGAATCTAAGAAAATGAAACTGAAGAAGAGGAAATTTGGATACACAAAGAGGCACCCTGGAGGCATGCATACAGAAGAAGGACTGTGTAAGGACACAGGGAGAAGCTGGTCATCAGCTTAGCAAAGAGAAAGGCCTCAGAGGAAACCAACGCTGCAGACAACTTTGATCTTGGATTTCCAGTCTCCAGAAGTGTCAGAAAATAAATTGCTTTTGCTGAAGCTACCTAGTCTGTGTATGGTATCAATACTGTCAAATAAATAAGTCAGATTCTTTTTTTGTAGATTTGTGCCACTAATATGGGTATATGTTGTATGCACGTATGCGTGTGAGTTTTAATTCCTTAGGTGATTCATGAAAGGATAGCACATATTAGGAAAAATATTTTCTTCTGAGTGTAATTTGATAATTATAAATAAATATTGATGTTAGAATATTCTGGCACTTGTGCTTTAGTGTATAAACACCTAGAGAAACTCTTGCACATAGTGCATCCAGACACCAGTAAGAATGTCCCCGTCACAACTGTTTGTGTTAGTGCAAAACTGGTATCTTTGTAGAACTAGATGTCTGTGTACTGACCTTGTTTTGACACCTTTACATGGAAAGTAAAAAAAGCAAATATGACAAAACAATGCAAATTGATAAAATGAACAAAGAAGTGGTATTTTTCAAAGATATTTTTATTATACCAAGGTAAACCCACATACACCTTTATACACCAAAA